AACATGTAATTTCCAATGTGGGCCACTGAGTTGGGGATGGTCAAGTTCACCAAAGAGCCACATGCGTAAAAGGCATGATCCCCGATGTGGGTCACCGAGTTTGGGATGGTCAAGCTTGCCAAAGAGTTGCAACCTAGGAAGGCACCGCCCCCAATGTGGGTCACCGAGTCCGGGATGGTCAGGTTTGAGAAAGAGCTGCATTTCCAAAAGGCACGATCCCCGATGTGGGTCACAGAGTCTGGAATGGTCAAGTGTGCTAAAGAGGTGCAATTCCGAAAGGCAGCATCCCCAATGTGAGTCACCGAGTCTGGGATGATCAACTTGGCCAATTCGTTGCAACCTTCAAAAGCGCTTTCATGAATGTGCGTTTCATCGTCTGGAATTTCAACCACAAGCAATAGCTCGGAGTCAACGATGCCACCAAGACTGGTGAATGCATTTTTGTTGGAGCAAATCACCTTGTTTGGCTTGAAGACAACGCTCACCACAGTATCTTCAGCAATTCCAGCGTCCGATACATTTGCATCATTGGCCAGAAATTGGTTGTCTCCAAAAATGATTTCCACACTCGTAGTGCTGCAAGTGAGCTCGTCCCAAGGTTGTCCGTGCTTGATCTGCTGCTTAAGCTCGCAGCCTGTCATCTCAGGCATGACTTCAAGGACCATGACCTCACCACTCGGCTGTAATGCTGAAATTTTTGCTGCCATGGCTGAAAGACTACGAGTTTGGATAGCTACTTGCTTGGGCACTTGGGCAAATCCTTGGCCTGTGGAAGAAGGACATGATTGGACTGAAGAAAAGCTGCTGTGACTACTGCTGTGCCATTTTTGGGATCGGAGTCTGATGCATCTGACCCAGTCGCTCTGCGAAGGAATTTGAAGCGACTGCTCTGTGCTAAAAGTGCTCCGGTTAAACCAAGATGCATCCAATGCACAGCACCGGCACCATCGAAACAACACCAAACCACCGCATCCAAAAAATAACGCCTCGCAATAGGTCAAACTGTGACCCACCTTCGAATCCCATAGACCATCTTAGACCATCAACCAAAAACACCCTGACCATCCCCACTGACCATTTCTTCCAGGCACCATACGGCCACCAGGAGTTCTGCAGGCTGCAAATGGCCTTGCCAGAGGTCATCTTCGTATGGCGAAATGCTAGGTCATAGTCCTCAAAGTTGGAGCGAAGCGCGCGGCAAGCGCCGTTGAACGCCGTTCTGCAGGCGTGGCGTGCCTGTATATACAGGCTGAGGAAAGAGGACAAAGAGTCTGATTTGGGGAGAACATGATTTTAACATGTAAGTTTAAATCATCTATTGCATTCTATTGCTATTTTTCAATATTATTCACGATGTGTTTTCTTTCTCTCTCTCTCCCTCTCTCTCTCTCTTCATTGACAAATCACATATCTAGTTGCCTCACTGAGTTATGGTGTTTGAGATTGTGCTTTGCTCATCGAAAAAGCTCCTCACTGGGAGCTCTGGTTGCAGCCTTGTCTGCAAGCCGAACTTGTTGGGACTGAGGGTCGGATAGCCAACTTGACATAGCTAAACAATCTCAAATGAGTGATGCTACGACCTGTCTTTGTCAACAAAAGAATTTGCATCCAGACTGGCAGTGGAGGAAGGACCCCTTGAAAGCAACTTGTCCTCTAGTTTCCTTCTTAGTGACCTTCTGACTACCTCCGTTTGCTTCAAGTATAGCTGCTAAAGCCCTGCACAAACAGAGGCCACTCAAAGACTCCAAAAAGATCGCAGAGGGGAAGGTCCGGCCCCAGGCCCTTCTTCCCTCGCTCTCGCGTTGATTCGACGTCCTGGTCATAGCTGTCGTTCTTGTTCTCCACCTGACCATGCAGGTGTTTTGCTCGTACGGCCCATCCCGGATGCCCATGTTCAACCCGTCAAGGCCTCCAAATGGGTCACAAAGGCCCAAGCACATGCCCAAAGACGATGGATGAGATTGGAACAGCCATGCCTGGATTCTAGACTCCTAGACCTCAGAAACGCATCCCAATGTGGGCCAACTTGTAGGCAAATACTATGCCATTGGTGGAGTTTCTGGTATAGTAAACAAATGGAAACATTCAGTCAACCAAACCATGCCCAAAAAGACCGGAGCAAAAAACACCTGGAGTGTTCCTCCGGTGACACCCTGCCACCGATGGGATCAGCCACCTGCCACCCGGTGCTCCACATGTGGAGTCCACTCGATCAGTGCCTGGGGCCCACTCATGACAGCAAAGCAGTCCATGAGCTTCTTCGCCACGTCCTTCTCGACGCCACCCAGCACCACCTTCCCAGGATAGCTCTGATCTTTGATGGCCACCTGAGAGATCGAGGTCAGAAGAGTGTAGCGTTCGAAAGCGTTCGCGAGACGGCAAGCGCCGGTGAGACGGCCCCGGTCCCACCGGGTGGTGAGAGATCGGGTTTGGTGGGTCGCTCGGGACGGGCCGCTGGGTTTGATCCCACTCCGAGAATGAACAGAATCGACATCACCAGACTTGGTTCAACCTGCCAATTTCGGGGCTGCCATGACCCACGAGCCATGTGTCTTCCTTGCCCTGGACCCTCCAGAACGCTTCAGAGGCGACGGGCAAGTCTGCAGGAAAGAAGAAGAAAAGCCCCTTTCTGATCATATGATCCTCTGCCTGGACCCTCCTGGCCAAGTCCCAGACACGACTCATGGGACTGCCAGGACGGACTGCCTTCAAAACGGCCAGGGGTGGTGGTGAAGGAAGCATATATGGCAGTCTCATTAGTTAGGTCTGGGAGTGTTTGTGACGTTCGTCCGGTGCCCAGGTGAAAACCACCTGTTGCCCAGTTGGTCTCCAAACAGCCTGACCAGGAGGGTCCTGGTGGTTGGCTTGTGATGTCAACCTCCATCCCCAACAAGCCGGAGATCGAGTTGCCGCAGCCCTTAAAGACGTTGGACATTTGTCCCAGCCAGGGCCCAAAACTCATCAAACAAACTAGTGTCCCATTGGGGCTTTGGGGACTCACTCAAGCTTTCATTCCATGTGACACCTGTCCAGGTGGCTTATGGTGGCTTGAGGGCTTGAGCCTACCTAGCGCCCTGCGCCAGCTTGTTCCGGAATGGTTTTCAATCCCATCCGGTGAGTGCATGTCCATTCTCCTACCCTCCAAATCCTTCCAAGTTTGGCACCCCAATTTCAGAAACTCCCTCCGCGAGTCAAAGTTCGATGTGGGTGAAAAATAATACAACCATCCAGCACCTTCCAAACTCAGGGTCACCAGTTCTGAACCGAGTTCGGCAGGTCCGAGGATGGTTCCACCGTTCCCTTCGCCCCAAGGCGCAATGGCCGTCTCCATCACTTGCCCCGTCTGGTGCCACACGAAGGCTGGGCGCGGCGAGGGTCAGAACAGGGGAGGGGTGAGAAGGTGAGAACAGGGGGAATGCTGGGCTTTTGGGAGGGAAAGGGTAGCAGGGCCCTTTAAGGGGTGTCTAATTATAGCTCCTTAGAGGTGATTCGGGGTATTAATCATCCCTTAGGGGGCCCTGGTAGATGTTCTTCCCACAAAGAATACGGAACCCCTCAGAGACGGTCCCAACAATTAGGACGTTTTTTGGTGCGGCAGAAGCACTGCCAACTCGCTTGTTCAAAGAAATCTTCAGGGTGCACGTTCATAAAGGGTGCACATGGGTGCCTTGTTCCAGGTTTCTTCATGTTTCCCACTGTTTCCTCTAAGTCTATTGAATAAACTATACATATCAGTCGGGGTTTGGCCCAAAGAGAATCAGCCCAAGGGTAGAGTGCAAACAGCATACAGCAAACCATACGGTTCGTCGTGCAACACGCCGAAACCAATGGGTGTCCTGGCGTTCGACTACCCTACCCTACGTCTACCAGGTCTCCTACTCCAGGGCACCCGACAATTACTATCAAGTCCACCTCACCAGGTCGCCCGGTTTTCGCCCTCTCCCAGCTTCCCACGCAGTAGAAATATAACAAGATGGAACCCACGAACCCGAATGCAAACACGATCGAAAAACTAATATGTCCAAAGGACACTCTTGTAGGACACTCTTGCGGGACACTCTGTAGGACACTCTTGTGGGCCACTCTTGTAGGAAACTCTTGTGGGACACTCTTGTAGGACACTCTTGTGGGACACTCTTATAGGACACTCTTGTGGGACACTC